GTGAACCATTCTCAAACACAGACATGAGAACAGATCCTGTGGGTTTCACACTCTAGCCTATGGTCTAATAGGCCAAAATTTCGCTCTTCATGAAAAATTATGACTGGGCAGTGGGGGAGCATACCTTTAATCCCAGCACTTTGGAGACAGTGGCAGGTGGATCTCCAAGTTCGAGGCCAGCATGGACTATACAGCAAGTTCCAGGACAGCCAGGGCTACACAGAGAAATGCTAAAAAAAAAAAAAAAAAAANAAAAATTAAAAAAAAAAGAAAGAAAAGCTACTATGAGAAATTCATTCATTTTTCCATCATTTTAAGTACCATTATGTGATGCTAAGAGAAAATAATGGTCAAAGTTTTAGTTTTAAATAATCATAATTTTATAATTTACATAACTTAATAAAATAAATACTTTGAAATTCACAATTGTTTAGTTATTTACTTTCTTTGGGTATCTATATTGAGTCTAATAAACTTCAAAGGGCTAGAAATCAAGGTACAATGAGGTTTAATCAAGGTGGGGAGAATAGACACCGAGGACTATGAATGAAAGAGAATCACTCTGTGACTCCGGGTGACGGGAGGGAGGCAGAGAAAGCGGGCTCACCTGTGTGATTGCTCTGCATATAGGACCCTCTCCCTGGGACCGAGACGGCCTTCTCAGTAGCCAGATCATTCTGCCTTGCGCATCTTCATCTTACCTATTTCGTAACCCTTGTTCTCATCAGGAATAATTTCTCCTTCTCCAGAACCTTCTATTACTTCTAGATCCAGTATAAACTCCCACCCATTGGTGCTTTCCAAAAAGAACACTTCTAGGGTGATCCATGTCAAGTTTTTAATGGTTTAGGAATCAATCGTGTGCCATGTGGTGAGAGGCTGCCTACTTAGCTTTCTTTCTTCGTTCTCGCTATTGTCTCATTTTTATATCTTTAGCTCCTAGAGGAAAGCATAGCTTGTATTTCTGATTATTTATATACAAGATACGAATACACATTTGTTGGTTTGAACTGACCTAAAATTATTTATTTTTTCTCCAATTATTTCATAACATTGTATTGAACAAACTTGAAAAATATAGAATGGGAGGCAAAGTAGGTAGATCTTTGAGTTCAAGGCCAGTCTGCTCTGGATAGCTAGTTCCAGGCCAGCCAGGGCTACCCAGTGGGACTCTGTCTCAAAAAAATTACATATAATTATCCGTGTGTGTGTGTGTAGTACTTTATTCAAACTTACTTTTTAAAAATCCATTCCTTTTAGCTGTTGCACTAAAACAAACTACTAGAGAATACTTCAGAATATCTATCAATAATACTGGAAACAGGTAATACTGCTAAGAAATCTTATAATAAAACAGGTTGAAAGTAGTAATATGAGATAGAAAAATAGGAGTAGGGTTTGTATTGAGCAGATAAAAGAAAATAAGCAAAAATAGTAAAACAGGTGAAAAATCGTGAACAAAATTTGCTAAGGGAAAATATGAACTGCTGTTGGCTTCTCTGGTAATTTCAGTAAACTTCTTTAGCATAACAGGGCTATATATAAAGCAGGCAGTTGATGACCGCAATAATCATGGAAATCAACATACCTCGTCTCCAATTTTTAAGAGGCAGGATTATGTAGAAGCTAAAAGTATGGACTTTATGTCTGTGCTGGAGAGGGTATCTAGGGATAGCAAGAGGAGAGTTACCTGGAAGTCACGGTCCCACGCCTGTTTTAAAAGTGCGAACTGTTCCAACAGACCCGCTGTGTGACCTGGACCAGACCATCCCTCGTTTCTGAAGTGAGGACGTTGATGGTATCCTCCTAAAGTGGCTGTTGTTAATAGACGCTAACACACAGGGACCGCTCACCAGCCACTATCAGTGTCACCGCGGCTGTTTGCTGAGAGCGTGCTCTACTGTGGAATTCAGTGTGCTTAAGGTGTTGTGACTTCTGACTGCTACTGTAGAGGGACGCTAAACAGTGCAAAGAGAGGTGAAACTGGCAACTTCCAAGGCCAAAATCACAGTGAGGACGCTATGCCATAGTTCTAGAGACACATTCTTTTTATTCTTTCAAAAATGAATATTTACATAGAACGATGTTATTGGAAAAAGTTCAGTCCATACAATAAGCAAGACTCCAGGTGGTTAGCAGGATAACGAGGCCTTATGGGTAAAAACACAAGAGGGGAAAACGTCACTCTCTGTGGCCAACATTACTGGGCATTGAGAAGTTAGAAAATTATTCCCGCTCCAACTTACTCTGACTTTTATTACAAGAAGAAGCGAGAAAATAGCTTTTCAAGTTTATTCCTGAGACTCTGGATCATTCTGGTTTTCTATCTCTTTCATTTGCACACACTATCAGTTGATAATCATCTTTATTCCTACTTCCTACACTTATCATAAAAAATTCTGGAGACAGCGAGGTATGTCATAAAAAAAATTCCAGAATCAGCCAGGTGGTGGTGGCACACACCTTTAATCCCAGCACTGGGGGGGAGGAAGGGTGTGCGGGGGGAGGGGGGAAGAGGATCTCTGTGACTTTGAGGCCAATCTGGTTCACAGAGCAAGTTCCAGGACAGGCTCCAAGCTACACAGAGAAACCTTGTCTCAAAAAACAAAAACCAAAAAAACAAAAACAAACATACAAAAAAAATTCCCAGAACCAGAAAATATCAAAGCACCTAGCTTTTATCAGACACTTAGTAATATGTAATGTACTTTACTTTCTAGCAAGGACTAAATAGATTACCTACACCAAAACAATAAATTGCCGAGTGTGTGACATATGCCTTAATATCAGCACATATAGGAGGCAAAGGGAGGTGGGTCTTTGTGAGTTCAAAGCCAAACATATCTGAATAGTGAGTTCTAGGTCAGTCAGGGGCTACATAGTGAGACCATCTCAAAAAAAAAGAAAGAAAAGAAAAGTGACTGCCATGCTCTAGATAAAATTTCATAACTAATGTAAAGACAAGTTCTCAAGTCACTGACTTCATGTCTTTTAATTGGTGCTGTCAATAAAATAAGTATTTAAAAACCAGATCCTAGGCCGGGTGGTGGTGGCGCACACCTTTAATCCCAGCACTTGGGAGGCAGAGGCAGGCGGATCTCTGTGTGTTCGAGGCCAGCCTGGTCTAGAAGAGCTAATTCCAGGACAGGAACCAAAAAAAGCTACAGAGAAACCTTGTCTCAAAAAATCAAAAAAATCAAAAAAATCAAAACCAGATCCTAGCTGGGCAATGGTGGCACACACCTTTAATCCCAGCAAAGGCAGGCGAATCTCTGTGAGATGGAGGCCAGCCTGGTCTACAAGAGCTAGTTCCAGGACAGCCAGGGCTACACAGAGAAACCCTGTCTCGGAAAAATAAGTAAATAAATAAAACCAAAAAAACGCTCGGATCCTTACACCTGTTCTTTCGCCCTCATTCGAGTCAATTACCCAAATGGTTAGCTATTTTGGCACCTTTGAAAATTTAGAAACCTCAACCTAAATTGCTGCAAACAGACATCCTTCACGACAATGACCTCTTAACATCATCCCTGGCCTCGTCTAGGCCATGTTCAGTCACACTACCACTCAAGCCGCTTTTTGTTCTTCTTACAGTTGATACCAATGTGTGCCCCCTCTCCCCCAGAAATGTGAAATCCTGTCACAAAAGGCAGATTTTTATAAAAATGAAGCAACTACAGTATTGTTGCAAACATCAGGATATAAGTAGGAGGTAATTCACTCAGTTAAAGTGGGATCTTGCTACTTCAGTTTGCAACCCTCTTATCTCTGAATAGATAATTTTAAAAACGACAACAGTCTGCATGCTTCTCAGAAGACCCATAGCTCCTATTTTTCTGGTTCTATTCTGAGAATGACAAAACATAAATGGGAAAAATACCAAAGCTCAATTTTCAGATAACTACTACTTGAAGTATAGCTTGGAAAAATTCTCTTTTTACTTAGTCTTCTTCATCCCAAAGAACTTGGCTTTTTTGTCAAAATCCAATGCTGAGAGAACAGTTAAATGAACCCCTTGTTTGCAACCCACTTTATCCTTAAATGAATTATTTTTCTTGTCTGACAACACAGCAAGACCTAGTAAAGGTAGCAGAATTTCTTTTTAAGTTTTTTTTAATGCTTCTAAAAGTACTGAGTTTATTTAAAGACACTGCATGAAGTTTGAGTCTCAGTTAAATGCGGTGGTTGGAATGAGAATGGTCCCCATAGGCTCCAATGCTTGGTCCTAGGCTGGTGGAACTTCTTGAAAAGGATTAGGCCTTGTGGCCTAGGTTGCGTGTGTGTGTGTGTGTGTGTGTGTGTGTGTGTGTGTGTGTGTGTGAGTGTGTGTGTGTGGCCCTGTTGGAGATCTATTACTGGAGACTGGAGGAAGGTTTTGAGGCTTCAAAAGCCCAGGCCAGGCCCTGTGTGGTCTCTCTCTGTCTGCTGCCTGTGGATCAGGATATAAAGCTCTCAGTACTGCTCCAGCACCATGCCTGGCAGCTGCTCACCAAGATGATCATGGACCAACCCTCTGGAGCTGGAAGCCAGTTAAATGCTTTGTTTTATAAGAGCTGCCTTGGTCTTGGTCTTCACAGCACTAGAACACTAAGATAGTAAACAAGCATGTCTTTATTAGATGTTGATTTTTGCAAGAGTACAAACTTGCAAACAATATGATAAATGATACTTGCATACGATAAATATAAAAGGTGTTTTTAGAAATAAAGCAGCAATGAGCTAAACTACAATGAGAGTTATCTTTCAATGAAGTAATCTGAGCAAATTTACTTGTCTTTTTAGAAGGTTTCAAAAGTACTTCTTAAAGTTGTTGCTTTCATTTGATACCTGTGTTTTTTATGAAACGGAAGCATAAAATACTCTGTCTAAGGCAGCAGATTTTCCAACATCAAGTTGCAAAGCTGAGTGCTAACAAAGACTGCTGCAAATTCACAGCAGGCACACAGGGCTGCTGGGTGCACGGGTTTCCTTCTTCAAACCTGAACTACAAGAGCACTCACCGTAAGGAGATACTGTATTCAGGATAAAGGATGCTTGTGTACTGGACCCACACACCAGCCTCTTCCTCAGTTCCCCTTTTTTTGGCTTCTGTGACTGAGAACAGATTAAATGATTCAAATCTTCTCACAGAGACATGTTTCAGACAGTCATCCAGCTGTTTCTGCTTCAGAACCTTTGAAATAAAATCAAATATTGGGGTTATATTACACATAGCATAAGATTAGGTCCCAATAATAGTGTACTGGATTATTCAGACTAATTCAGAGGAAGACAGACAAAACATGTCAGAGCACTGGGAACAGTCAAGACAATAACAGTTTAACAGTCTGATATCATTTTTTTTTTTTTTTTGATTTTCGAGACAGGGTTTCTCTGTAGCTTTTGGTTCCTGTCCTGGAACTAGCTTGGGCTGGCCTTGAACTCACAGAAAGTTCATGCCTCTGCCTCCCTAGTGCTGGGATTAAAGGTGTGCGCCACCACCCGCCCCGGACAGTCTGATATATTTAAAAAAAAAAAATTAGAAAATCCAGAGTTAACAAGGCTTTTATATCCACTATTCTCCTGGACATTTGTTAGCTGAAGGAAGTGAAAAGACAAGGAACATATTTAATGGCCAGAACTAAAGCAGGCATGTTATTATATAACTGTGTGTACATGTATATGTATGCACAACATATGTATGTGTGCATGTGTGTATGTACGTATGTGCCTGTGTATGCTTGGGCAGCATATGTTTGTGGATGTGCACATGTGTGAGTGTGCATGTGTGTACGTGTGTTTTAGGATAAATCAAATGACTAGTTTTACAGTGTTAGTTTCCCATATATGGAGAAATGAGATTAATGAGTATTAGCAAAAACCATACAGCTCCACATCCAAGTAGAAGTATAATACAAGGGCTGGAGAGATGGCTCAGAGGTTAAGAGCACTGACTGCTCTTCCCGAGGTCCTGAGTTCAATTCCCAGCAACCCTTATGGTGGTTCACAACCATCTGTAATGAGATCTGGCACCCTCTTCTGGCCCGCAGGCATACATGGAGGCTGAACACTGTGTACATAATAAATAAATCTTTAAAAAAAAAAGTATAATACAAACACTGAAGGCTTATATTTTCTGTCTTACAATTTAAAATATATATGTATGCCCAACACTGAAAAGTTCAGTGGTCAAACTTGTAGCAATTAGCATACTTAGTGCCCAAACTGTTGTCTCTAAATATTATTTTCTATGAAAACAATGTGAGGCCCCTAAGAGATGGTAGGAATTGTACAAGATGAGCCTGGAATGTGTGTGTGTGTGTGTGTGTGTGTGTGTGTAGGACCCAGCAGCCAAACTGAATATGAGACAATATATTAATAGATGTGAGAATTTCAATATAATCAAAATACAACATTCACAGTGCATATAACCGAAAGTCTAGCAGTTCAACTGACCACCACCCCTGGACCCCGAGCACAGAACCAAGAGCCTAGAAGTCCTGACCATTCTGCTACCTTCCCAGCATATCTAGCCAGGAGCCCAGAAGTCTGACTGACACTGCTGCCCCCTGCACTCCTCATCTCTGCATATCACCAGAACTCTCCAATTCTTGAGGACCCAAACAGAAGCTACTCCAACATCCTTTCTCCTTCTTTTGCAATTTGTACTTCCTATTTTTTCATCACACCCTTCGGCAATGTTTTTACAACTAGTCTTTGTTTATTACTACACTTCGTACAGTTTTCTAATGTTTCTCATTTCTGGACAATCTTTTTTTCTAATTTTTATTCTAGGTGTAGGGGTATTTTGCATGCATGAATGTCTGTGCATCAGGTGTGTGTCTGTTGCCTGTGGAGGTCAGAGGAGGGTAACAGACACACACACCGGCCCCCCCCAACTAGAGTCACAGATGGTAGTGAGCAGCCGTGTAGGTGCTGGGAATCAAACCCAGTTTTCTGGAAGAGCAGCCAGCTTTCTTAACAGCTGAACCATCTCTCCAGCCCTAAACCAAATCTTTTTCTTTTTTCAGGTCTTCTGTGTTCTCTTCTTCCCATTTTTTTTTTTTTTAACCCTTTTAGGGCCATATTACAGGCCCATATTTCTACATTGGATGGCAACTAGACTTTCAGGCCACAGTTTGCACCTGGCCTTTCCAAACTGTCGCCATCCTAAACTAAGGGTCAGGATATGCTAATGTCACTCTGCTCCTTCTTTGTTATTATGGGAGATCACCTGGGAAGAGGAGTTAATTCAGTCTACGTGACAGAGCAGCCATACTTGCAGACATGACCTAAGTCCTGCTACCCCAGAAACAGAAAGCTAATGAACTTACCCCTCAGTTTACCTTTTGATATAAAAGCTGTTTGGAGAATAAACACAGGTAAAATTTCAGGATGTGAACTCAGGATTTCATGAGGGACCCCTGAAAACTCCCTCTTGATAAAGTCATGTCAGTTGTCTCAATTCTTCCCATGCCTCCCCTCTGGTCCGAGAAATAATTTAGGTCCAGCCCAGACCCCAACAGACCCTCTTTGAAGGATTTTTAGTAGTAATTTGACTTTGCTTTTTATTTTCTCCAATATAGAAAACTTCTCAAATTTATGTATCATTCTTATTTGAAGCCATGCTAATCATCATTCTAATTTTAATATACATGATACTGACTTCATCTAAAACCTTTGCTTTGTAGACCAGGCTGGTCTCAAACTCACCACCTGCCTCTGCCTTCCAAGTGCTGGGATTAAAGGCATACACCACCACCCAGTCTTTTTTTTTTTATTATTTAATTTTATTTCAGGTGCATTTGTGTTTTGATTGTATGTATGTCTGTGTGAAGATATTGGATTCCCTGAACTGCCATGTGGGTGCTGGGAATTGAACCTGGGTCCTCTGAAAGGTCATTCAGGGCTCTTATCTGTTCAGACATCTCTATAGCCCCCATCTAAAGAAATTTGAAATTGTTTATTTTTAAATTTGTATTTTTATTCCCCTTCTTAAATTTTATTTTCCAGTTTTCTGTTTATTAGGAATCTTTTTGAATCTTTTCTCTCTTCTATAGAAGGAGGGGCCATTTGTTTGCTTGTTTGGTTCCCATCCGCCCAGCTAACTTAAACCCAAAATAATCACACAGAAACTGTATTAATTAAATCACTGTTTGGCACATTATCTCTAGCTTCTTATCTCCTACATCTTAATTTAGCCAATTTCTATTAATCTGTGCATCACCACTAGGTCATGACCTACCAGCAAAGTTTCAGCATGTCTGTCTCTGGAGGTGGTTCCATTGTATCTCTCCGACTCCATCCATCTCCTCCCATGCTAGAGGCCAAGCCAGATCTTTACTCATTAACCAATAAAAGCAACAGAAGGAGCTCCCACACCACTCTTCTCCTGTGTAACTCACATTCTGCACATCTCTTCCTTCCTTTCTGTTTATTGAACTTGTCTTCTCTGCTTTCCTCTTCCCTGCCTCCTTCGTTTTCCTAGTCACCTAGAATTTCTACATTTACCCTACATAGATAACTTCACAGCCGTTTTCTTAGTCTTTGGCTTATAGTCACTGTCACTGTACTGGTGGCCTCTTCATCAACTTTCCTATCTATTGCAGTTTGATTCTGTAGTTGTTATCATTTGTTTTCCCCTCCTTGGACGGAATGAGCCTCGGGAATAAGGCTGCTCAATAAGATCTCCAAACACAAATGGAAGAGACATTCAAAGCAGTGTTCTACAAATTACATCACAAAAACATCAGAAATATTAAAAGGCACGGCAACATGACTTCCCCAAAAGATCACAATCCTTCACTGAATTCAGAGCTAGATAAAATATTGGGAGAAAACTGTAAAAGTAATCCACTAGCAAAAGTAATGGTAATATCAAAGAAGACAGAAGTAGAAAAGTTCAGTCCAGGATCTGAAGAAGAAAGCAACACAAAAAGAAACAGACAATAAAAATCAGCAATATGATAAATTTCACCAACATAGAAGACAAATTTTTCCAGAAAAATATATTCCTTGTATATATGTGTTGTATGTTTATATATTGTAAGCATATATTTTGGTTACATATGATTATATATTACATTATATACATATACATATAATATGTGTATACATATATACATATCATATATGTGTATATATAACCAGAATTTATATATTAGCTTTTCAAGACAGGGTCTCTCTCTGTAGTAGCTCTGGTTATGCTGGAATTCACTATTGTAAACCAGACTGACCTCAAACTCAGAGACCCACCTGCCTCCACTTCCCAAATCCCGGGATTAAAGGTGTGCCCCATCAAACCTGGCATAAAAGTAAGCATTTAAAAAAAAAAAAAAGAAGTGTTAGACATTAGACATTCAATGAATCAAATCAAAACACAGTGAGAACAATTACTTATGATTTTAACAAACTTAAAGACCAAAAATACTCTTGAATAACCAGAGGGCCATTGAAGAAGTCACAGTAGAAATTAAAATATTCCTAGAATTAAAAAAAATAAAAGTGAGCTTCTAGAATCTTGGGATAACAGATAATCAGTTTTGAGTGCTTACATTCAAAAACAAACCAAAAAAAGAAAAAAGAAAGAAAGAGCATGATGATGAATAACACACACCTTTAATCCCAGCACTTGGGAGGCTGAGGCTGGAGGATCTCTGTGAGCTTGAGGCCAGAACGGTCTACAGAATGACCTCCAGGATAGCAGAGCTACACAGTGAAACTCTGTCTCCAAAATTAAGTTAAATAAACTAACGATGCAACTCAAGGTCTTGTGTGTGTGTCTAAATTTTTATATTTAATTAGTTTAATTATAAACGAAATTAACATGATTATAATGATTTTCCAGTTCTATGACAATTACTGAGTTTTGAGTATGTACAGTTCAATAACAAAAAAAACTAATAAAACAAAAGCATGCAAGAAAAGCATGGAGTCCATTTTGTGCTGGCCACCTGGTTCTGGGTGTGGGTGTGGCCTGGAGTGTGGTTGAAATGCCCAGTGGCATTCCAACAGGTTTGCAACTGCAAATAGTTTCTTGGTTAGGGTGGGGCTTTTTGTCCACTTCCCCTTCTCCATACTGGATTTTTACAACTTGGGTCTTAAACGAGCAAAAATTATCCAAGAGCAAGGCTCAGTGGTTAATAAGAACAGGACCTGTGTTCTGTTCAAAGTACCCCTGTGAGGTGGTTCACAACAGCCTGTAACCCAAGCTCCAAGGGATCTGATGCCCTCTTCTGGCCTCTTCGGGTACCTGTACTCTTGTATATACATTCCAACCCACCTCTTACAAATTATTCAAAATTAAATACTTTGTTTTGTTTTGTTTTTCAAGACAAGGTTTCTGTATAAGACAGTCATGGCTACCCTAGAACTCACTTTGTAGACTAGGCTGGCCTCAAACTCACAGAGATCTGCCTGTTGAATACTGGGATTAAAGGCGTGTGCCACCACCAACCACCTGGCATAAAAAAATTAATTCTTGGGGGAAAAAAAGAGCCTTACTGGACAGTGGTGGCACACGCATTTAATCCTTGCACTCAGGAAGCAAAGCCAAGTGGATCTCTGTGAGTTCCAAGCCAGCCTGTTGCTCTACAGAGCTAGTTCCCGGACAGCCAGGTTATATAAAGAAACCCTGTCTCATACAACAACTGCAACAACAAAGCCGAATCTAAAAGTGCTAGGGAACAAGAAATAATGAAAATCAATGCAGACATTAATGAAACAAACACACACAAAAAAAAAAAATAGGAATCTGAAAGAAGCAATCAAAAAGCCACTAGAGATTGCAACGAAATCTAAAGATTCCAGTGAACCTGGGATTAGAAGATAGGAAGATAGTTTCATTTTAATCAGCAGTGGAACAGTCTGAAATAAAACTAGCCTCATCCCTTCACTTACAACGAAAAACTGATGTCCAATAAAGTGTTCATCAGAGTCAAGGGCAGACCTGAGCCTAAAATCCAGGGCCTCGATTTACACTGGCGCCCCAAGCCTGCTTTAAATTGCACTAGGAGACATGCTAGCAATCAGGCTCTGCAGGCTTGTGCCCAGCGGGTACACGATTCCATTCGTTAGGGCTCGTGAGCCTGTGTGTGCACCCCTTCCCTTCGGCAACCCCTCTTCTTTATGTAATTCTGGTGGGATTGTAGGTATGCTGATGACTCAGAGGAGCCAAAAAGCTCCATTCTAATTAGGCGCAGCAATTGGCCAAAATGTGGCTTACCAGAGGCTTTTGGAAGAAATTATTTGTTAGGGAAAATATATCAGTTCTTCAGGACCCTTAACTGGGTGGACATTGAAACCTCTAAATTGCACTTGACTGTCATTGCTATCAGATTGGACTCGATAAAAAGGAAAATCAAATATCTGCAACATGAGCTATTGATGATAGATTATAGATGTCACCTATTTAGGGTAGGTACTAGAACCCAAAGTCAGCAATTTATCGCAACACCTAGAAAAAATAATGTACTAGTCAAATAGGTTTCCTCTCAAAAATGTGATTCCAGAGTAAGCATTGAACAGTTAATATAAAGGACCATAAGACATCATCGGAATCCTGGGGAGTAACAAGAGACAAAATTGGGATGGGGTGGGTAACAAGCAAAAATAAACCCACATCACAAAAATGTGCCACAAAAGAAAGAACCCTCCCCACCCACACCCACCCCGTGGTAGAGATCAAAACTAGGGGCTTTGCACATGCAAAGTGTTCTACCACTGAGTTACACTGAGTTACACTCCCAACTAAGAGTCACACATTTCTAACCTTGATCGGCTCCTTCAAGCTTTCTGCCTCCAAATACAGATGAGACACTCATGAGTGGCTCAGCCATTTTAAACAGTTCCTAAAAAGCCCATAGATGCTATAAATGCAATAGACCCTATTGTGAGAAACTGAATCACTACAGGCAGAAATTCACTTCTTCCATACCACCTCAAAAGGGACGTGTTGCCTTACTAGACCTGGATGGAGGTGGGTGGTCCTTGGACTTCCCACTGGGCAGAGAACCCTGATTGCTTTTTGGGCTGACGAGGGAGGGGGACTTGACTGGGGGAGGGGGAGGGAAAGGGGAGGCGGCGGTGGGGAAGAGACAGAAATCTTTAATAAATAAATAAATTAATTAAAAAAAAGGGACGTGTTGCGGGAGGTCCTTCCGCCCCTCCAACCAATAGCTGCTGTGATACCAGCCCATTGGGGTGTGGTCTCTCTCCCTTTAAAAGAGCGGCTACTTCCTCTGCTCTCTCTCTTCACTTCCTGCTCCGCCGACTAGACTTCCTTCCTGGTTGCGCAGAGGGCTGTTGTCTGGGACTGTAAGTTTTCTCCTCTTTAAATAAATACCACCCTTTTAATCATAATTCCAAACTGGTGTGGCATTGTTCGTGACTTAAGCCTTCAGGGACGGTTGTTCCCTACACTGTGACTTTATCCTTGGCGAGACATTGTCCTTAGCGAAGAGTCTTGTGATATGATAGCTTACAGTGATGATCAGCTTGACAAGAACTAGAGGACCTAGTCTCTGAGCATGTCTAGAAGGGGCTATCTATAGAAGGTTAACCTCTCGGCATGCCTGTAAAGGCTTTTCTTTACGTTCACTGAGGTGAGGAGATGCTCTGATTGTGATATCATCATTTCATGGGCTGAGACTTAAACTAAATAAATGGAAGGAAGGAAGGAAGGAAGGAAGGAAGGAAGGAAGGAAGGAAGGAAGGAAGGAAGGAAATATAGGGGAAAAAAAGTATTCACCCATTGCTTTCTTTCTCCCTCCTGAGCACTAACACAGCATGGCAGGTGCTTCCAGCTCCTGATGCCTGATTCTTCCATGATAGACTGCGCCCATCAAAGTGTGCACCAGAACAAACCCTTCCTTTCTCAAACTGCTTTGTCTGGTATTTTGTCACAGTAATAATGCAAGGAAGTAATACAGCATGTTAAGAGACATCAGGTAGGGCTGGAGAGATGACTCAGTTAAGAGCACTGGCTGTTCTTCCAGAGGTCCTGAGTTCAATTCCCAGCAACCACATGGTGGCTCACAACCATCTGTAATGAAATCTGGTGCCCTCTTCTGCCTGCAGGTGTACATGAAGACAGAGTTTAACATAACTCGGATGTTAAAAAAATAATTAAAAAAAAATAATAACGCTAAAGAGAGAGAAAGATCACCACCACCGACTTTCCTCTCTGAGATCCTACTGTCGCCCCTGTCATGGAGATCCTGCAGCCAGGGCTCCTCAGGATTAGTCCCTTCACACTCCAGCAGATCACACCTGGTGTACATGTTGGGGTGTGCCAACTCCAAGCCCTGGATATGTAAGCGGGGATTTTAAATGTGCCTCTCTTACACTTCCACCATAACCGTGAAAACATGTCAGCCAACTAGTCTAAGAATTCTAGGTATATAGACCAAATACACAGCATTAAACCACGCAGGTGATCACAGCCTTTACCAATAAACTACCATGTGGTTCAAGGAAGTTATGACATATGACATGGTGGTCGTTTGTTAATAGCAATAGTAAAGCTAAGTAAAATAACACAGTAAGAACCCAGTGCCCCAAGCCAGTGTCTTGTTACTTCTTAATTGCTATGACACAATGACCAAGGAAAATTAAGAACACAACAGCTTTTATTTGGATTCGTTGGTCCATGCTGGGCAGCGAGTATCCCCACTAATTACTTCAAGCTTAGAAGATAAACGTCTGACTTTCACGCGGCGGGAAGAGAGAACGCAGTAACTTTGCCTGCTCCCTTTACTCTCATGTGTGGAAACCCGTGCAGGGTCACATCAGTCAACCACGCAGATCTCCAGCAATGCAGGACCCTAAGGTGCGCCGTGGAAGTCGGTGACCACAAGCCCAGCTAGAAAATAGCAGGTGGAAAGAGCAGCGCGCGGTGAAGAGAGGCGGTCCCACCACCCATCAGGCGGGCAAGCAAAAGGAATCTGCTTCGATCTGAGTTTCCGGGACCTCAGCTAGAAAAGTCCCGCTCGCAGCCAACCCCGCCAGGTCCTCCCTTTTTCGGTGGGACAGTGGGTGAAGCAAGTGGACGCTTCTCGATTGGCTCCCGACAAAGTGGGAAGTCGCGTCCCGGGGCTGAGCGGCCGTCCGCGCGCCGGGTACCTGGGAGGGGGGTGGCCAGAGGTGGCGAGCGGTCGCCCTTACCTGTCGCAGGAGCTTCCACCGGGCGACCCCCTTGGGCACCGAGACCGCCGATCCCTGGCTGGCACCTCCAATCACGGGACCCTCGCCCGCGACTGCTTCAGTCCCCCGAGCCCCAGCGGCCGCGACGGGCGACTCCATCCCCAGAGCTGGCTGGACGCGGAGGTGCCGCTGCCACAACTCTGCCCAGTCAGGACCTGCCAACTTCTTCCCTGTCAGGACCTGTGACGCCCGGCCTCTGGCCCACAGCCCTTGCGTGCGCCCTCCCCGAATTCCGCATTTCCGGTATTCGCGTCTCCATGGCAACGGGACAGCGGCGTCACGGCATTGCACCAGTTTTCTGATAGCCATCTTTAGTGAGGGCGAGCCGGAGTGGGAGGGAACTGTGAAATCGTTACAGAGAGGGGTTTCCTCACTGTTTTCGTCTTTCTCACTTTGTCTTTTGCTCGCTAGAATGCTAAAAAAGCAAAAAACAGGGGTCTCTTAAGACTAATAAATTCATAAGAGAAAAATCCCACCCTCTGACCATAATAAAGATGGAGAAATATGCTTCACTCTCTGGCTGGATTGGCGTTACGTAGAACCGGCGTGCTGCAAACTAGCTCTGGGCGGCGCGAGCCAGGTTGTCTCTTCTTGCTGGGTGCTGAATGCAGACATCGGGTGGACGAGGCTGAGGTGACTGCACCTCCTTCTTGAGAGCTTCGGGTTCTCATATTTGTCTTCTCTGCCTTACTCGTCTGTGTCCAGCGCCGGCCTGTCTTTCAATTTGCGTACGTATGGGAGGGTTGCTGGAGGGTCCGCTTTCCTAATTCCTCTCCCCACCACCTTCCAACCATTCCTCAGTTCTCTGGTCCCCTTTTTGATCCCTGTCTCCTCGGTGCGTGGTAACTGGTACCATTCCCTCACGCCCTGGGATGCGCAGTTGCACAGGGAAACGAGTAGGTTCTCCTGAGAACACCCATTTGTCTACCCCACCCGTATCCCTTTCCTTGCACACTGTCTTCATGCAGGTGGTGGATAAATGGATTGAGGATATGGGGACAAATTAAGCGATTTAGGGGCGTTTTTCTTCTAGGCTGCTGCTCCACTGGTCTGTTATTTTGCTGCGACATAAAAAATTTAAGGGGGGAGGGGACGTCATAGCTGATCGGGTCTGTGATAAAACTGACGCTAACGGTGGAGTTTCTGTGCTGCACCCAACAGTGGTCAACATACCTAAAGTATTACTACGCTAATATATTAAAAAGCCTTTTGTTGAGTGGTTACCATGTGCCAGGTACTTGTACTAAATTCTTAACATAAATTTTCTGGTTTCGTTACAAAACTATAACCCCAGACAGTAAGTGGCGTGGTTACTTTTTGTTTTACAAGTGAAGAAATTGAGGCCGAGATGCAAGGCCCAAAGCCTGAACCTGGGTCTCTGGCTATGGCTGTTATAATGAACTTACCTTCCGGCAGAAACCAAAGATGACTCCATATCTCATTTGTGCATCTTGCGGGTTTATTTATTTATTTTTTTATCCTTTTATGGTTAAGTTCAATAGCTCATGTACAAGATGAGGCAGCAAAACAGTTGGACTTTCTGCTGGACCAGGTGACTTGAGGAAATGTCTGAAGCTTCCCAGAGCCACTGTTGGGTCACCTGTTAAACGAATGACATTATCATTTCTTCATCAAGAATACAGGAAACTTAAATTAGATGAATAGATGAAAAGTATCTGGCACCTAGCCAACACTCAACAAATATTAATCCCCCTCTTTTATTAAGTAATCCAGACTTTTCTCATTTGTCTTTCACACACAAACCAGTGATACGCCCCAAATTATGTAAGGTAAAAAGCCGTTTTGCTTCAGAACACCCTCAGTTCCTGAGATTCCCATGGAGTTGTTACTTGTTGGCACATCTTTATTTTGTTTCTTGTTTTCTGTTTTTTGTTTTAGTTTGTCCATATGTGCACCCGAACCATTGCTGCTTAGCCTCAGCCTAGTAAAACTGACCTCACAAATGACATGTTTAAGTCAGACCTGCCAAGACGTATGATTTGAAGGAACTGTAACTCATACAAGTTTTTCAGTTTACTTAACCTAAACTGTCAGATGTCTGCAATTGTTTGTGACCTCAGGGGCTCATGACTCCCAGAGGGGGGATAAGATGTGGTGATCTCTAGTGCTTGAGATCCCATTACTGTATAGTTACACATATGACATCGTACACGCGAAGGGGTCAGAAACCAGGGACTTTGCTACCATGCAGCAGACGACCAAATTCTTTCTCCGAGCTTTGAAGCATAGTGTTCCTCACCCTGGGAAATGCATGCAGAAACAGAATTACTGTAACTTCGCCAACCATTGTTACAATAGAATAAGATTGAAAAAGTATCACCTGCAGAATAAATCCAAGATATCAGAATTAGCAAGAAACGTCCCGAGTCGGAGCTTCTCATGTAAGGTATGAACTATTTAAGTTAACCTATTTGTAGGCCGTTAATATTAATTTTAGTGCATAAATAGTGGGTAAGATATCCATTACTAATTTTCTCAGTGATTCTAATTTGATTTTAAGATTTTTTTCAGGCTCAAATATCTGTAACCAATATGAGTACAAAAGAACGCATATAATGCAACTATAACCACGTTTTCCAAAACTCTAATAAATCTATAATGATGTACATAAAATGTAGATTCATAAAACTGATTGATGACAGGACTTACTGTGCCTGAAAAGGTGCTTTAAAATATAGCTATTTCTAAAATTACCAGAATGTTATACCTAAAATTACTACAAATTATACCTCTTAATAAAACCTAGTAATATGCTAATTCTTGTATGATTCGTAAACTTCAGTAAATGCCATGTAGTTGTATATAAAGGAATGAAAAGCTATCAAGCCTTTTTGGCAACCTGTGTTCCTCAAAGAAAATGCCGTTACCCTTCTGCCAGACCGCGAGTTACAGGCTTGAATTCAGCCTTGAGGAACTGATGGCACATGTGGAGAGTAGCGCCATATTCTGGTCTGCCTGAGACAGACCCACCTTGCACCTGTTGTCCCTGTGTAGTTATTAATAGTCCTCGATCTTCTCAAAAGTGTTGATGTCACGCTACATGGTTGTCATCCTTAACTTGAAATCGGGCTGTTTGCTCCGTCGTTTCTTTGACAGGTATCCTCTACTTTTCGGTTGTGTTCCTGAGGTTCCTTCCACTACACTTGGGGGTGCTAACCTAACAACATGCTGGCATGATTTTACCATTTTCTTGCATGGTGATTTTCGTGTAGTCTGTCTTGGCTTCCTCTAATTGTGGTAAATTATATATTTTGAAAGTTAACCATTTTAGCCAGTTCTGGTGTGGAACTCAATGGCATTAGTTACAGTCACAGGATTATAATGCAACTATAACCACATTTTCCAAAACCCTATCATATGGCCCTCTCCAAAAACACCCCCAACAGTTTATGTTGCCCTCACCCGGGACATCTAATCTACTCTCTATATCTATGAATTTGCCTATTCTGACATTTTTGGATGAGCGGAAGTACACAAAAACTACCTTTTCTTTATCTGGTTTGTTTAATTTTGCTAATGTTTTTAGGGCTTGTTCATGTATCCAAACTTCATCCCTCTTTATAGAGATAATATTCCATTTATATAATCTTGTTGACCATGTCCTTTGCTTTACAGAAGCTTTTCAGTTTCAGGAGGTCCCATTTATTAATTGTTTCTCTCAGTGTCTGTGCTGCGGGGTTTCTATTTAGGAAGTGGTTCCTTGTGCCAATGAGTTCAAGTGTACTTCCCACTTTCTCTTCTGTAAGGTTCAATGTGGCTAGCTTTATGTTGAGGTCTTGGATCCATTTGGACTTGAGTTTTGTGTGTGGTGATAGATATGGGTCTATTTTCATTCTTCTACATGTTGATATCCACTTATGCCAGCACCACTTGTTAAATATGCTTTCCTTTTTCCATTTGATATTTTTTGCTTCCTTGTCAAAAATCAGGTGTTCGAAGATGTGTGGATTGATATCTGAGTCTTCTATTTGGTTCCATTGGTCCTCCTGTCTGTTCTTATGCCAATACCAGGCTGTTTTCAGTACTGTAGCTCTGCAGTAGAGTTTGAAGTCAGGGATTGTGATGCCTCCAGAAGTTCTTTTATTGTACAGGATTGTTTTGGCTGTCCTGGTTTTTTTGCTTTTCCATATGAAGTTGAGTACCGTTCTTTCGATTTCTTTGAATAATTTTGCTGGGATTTTGCTGGGCATTGCGTTGAATCTGTTTGCAATTAGTTTCTAATGGTAGTTCTGTCCTCCTCTTCCTGGACTTCATACATTTCAGCCTTTTAAATTGTTTCCTTAGGAACATTAGCTTGACTCTCTGATTCTTACCTTTACACACTTAGAAACTTGAAAGTTCCCTTTTTCTGTTTTGTTTGGTTTCTAATGTAGACTTACCATACTTTATGCTCATAAACTTTAAAGTTCTAGCTACTGCACTAAGCCTTTGAGTGGCTTCACTTTGCATGAGTAGAACATTTCGTCACTTGGTCTAGGTTTATAAATAGTAAGCAGGCTTTGCCACCAGAGTAGCAGCTGTGAAATTAGCTCACACAGTGAGCCAGGAGGGTGTCTCTGAAGCTGTCTGTCTCTGAGACAACTTTTAATTTTGTCAAGCATTCCCACTCCTAGAAACTGACCTGGCTGACGGCAGCTCCACAAATAGAAGCTCCTTTAGGGAAGTCCTCCCCCGGCAGAGCGGTTCTGCTTTCCTGTATTTTGTGTTCCACCCCTCCCTCCATGACAAATGCACGACCTAATGCTGGGCGTTTACTCACTATGCTCCCTGAGACCTGAGGAAACCTTCTAAAGAGAAGCCATAGGTGTGGAAATACTCCGGAGACAAAAATACACATTCCTTTCTTTTAACAGGTTCCTCTGGGTTCCAAATTAGTCCACTCTTACAGGTTCTAGTAAAGTAGAAGGCCTTTAATTAGACCTATTTAAAGACCCACTGCTCACATAAACTAACTGAAGAACAAGAGAAGACAGTGTGTGTTCTAGAAATAATGGAAAGGGAAAGAACCAGCCAGGACTGCAGTGACTGTCGACTAGACAGCGTTCCTAATTTTCTTCACTCAGAAACAAGCAGAATCAACAAGCTCAAACCTCACTATGCCTTGTTACCCTGGCAACCAATTATACAACTTTGGGATTCTTTTGTACCAACTGCTGCAATCTAGATGCATGTCAGCAATGAAAAAAGCAGGTTTCTAGATCTGAAGCCGTTTCTGTTGAATTAGAATGTCAATGGCTGAGGCTTAAGGATCTGATTTCTTCTTTATTTTTGAGGCAAGATCTGTGTTCACAAGAACTCTTGTTGATGCAGTCCTCTTGTCTCAGCCTCTCAGGTAACTGGGATCATAGGCATCACTCCAGCCAGAAGTCTGATCTGTTTGTTTGTTTGTTTGTTTGTTTGTTTGTTTGTTTAGGTTCCTTGGGTAACCAAAATGCAATGCCTGCCTGCCTACTTGCCACTGACACTATATTTAGAAACCGGAGGTCCTTGGTGATGAAGTGTTGTTGCTCTAACCCTAATTCATTCACTTGTAACGTTCATTTCTGGCCAGCACCTGAATTTTCTATAGTGCAATGACCAGGCAGTATTTAGTCCATTCCGCTTTTGCCAGTGATGCCTCGCATGCATGAAGCCCTGGGTTCAGCCAGGACAACCACTGTAATCTTAGCACTCAAGAGGCAGAGACAGGAGGAGAGGTGTCACGATGTCCGTCCCACCAAATGAGAGTCAGGACCATTGCCCAGACTCTGGTCAATTTAAGCAAACTCTATTTTCTGTCAGACAGGGCTATCTCCCTAAAATAGGATTTGAAAATATAGCCCCAAACATAGGAAAGGTAAGGTTCATATAGTCCAGAAGACTAAGATTGGAGGATTATCAAGGCTTCAGAGATTTCCAGAGGAATTTTGGTCTCGTGGGAACGTGGCTGAAGATTTTTAAATTATTTGGCAGAACATCTTATCTATCAAGATATATTCAAGGTGTGAGTCAAACTCCATAAGGTGGGGAGCATGCCAAATTCCAGAACAGGTCAAAGTACAATTGACTTGAATTTTGCAGCAAGCAGAAATGAACTTGTGACCTTATAACAAGATGACTTCCATCCTTAAGATGGAGTCAGGCTGGCCCAGCAATGATCATCCTCAGCTCCATAGCATAAAGGGACACTCAAGGCCTGCCTAGGCTAAATGAACTTTTGTTTCTGAAACAAAAAGCAGAGTGGGTTGTAAGAGATCAGTACACTGGAGAACAAAAAAAGTAAGAATGTGGGCAGAGAATGGAAGAAAGCACATGTTTAATAAGATGGTAAGTGTTGGACTCGTGGGCAGGATGGCGTGTGAGTGCAGACATCAAGACTGAAAGATTGGAAAGAGTAAGACAGAAAGAGGCGAACCACAGAGACATCTCATGCAGCAGGTTCTAGACAGTCAGAAGAATCTTCCATTTATATTGTCATTGAGTTTTAGAGTCAAGGTTATATTAGTCTAATAAACTAAGTTGAGTAATTCTGTCTTCTTTCCTGTTTTTTAAATGGTTGATTATGAGATTTTTTTCCCTTTGATTATTGGAGGGGGCGTGAGGGAAGTGGGAATAGCTGAGACAAGCCTTTTCTATATAGCCCAGACTTATCTCAAACCCAAAGTCCTCCTGCCTCATCCTTCTATGTGCTCTATTATAACTAATTATACCATGTTTCTCATATCTAATATTCTTTGTCTTTTTCTGGATCAGTTTTATTATACATTTGTCATTTTTAGTAGTTTTCTGGGGGTGGGGAATGATTTTTTAAATTTTCTCAGTTTTCTTTACTTGGGCTTTAGTTTTCAGTGTCCTCTAATGGAGATGCCGTGTCCGTGTGTCCCGCTATCAGTTCAGTCTCCTCTAATGGAGATGCCGTGTCCGTGTGTCCCGCTATCAGTTCAGTCTCCTAGTGGAGATGCCGTGTCCGTGTGTCCTGCTATCAGTTCAGTCTCCTAGTGGAGATGCCGTGTCCGTGTGTCCCGCTATTAGTTCAGTGTCCTCTAATGGAGATGCCGTGTCCGTCTGTCCCACTATTAGTTCAGTCTCCTAATGGAGATACCATGTCCATGTGTCCCGCTATTAGTTCAGTGTCCTCTAATGGAGATGACGTGTCCGTCTGTCCCACTAATGACTGTTTTGACTGAAACATTAGCTGCTAGTTGTCTCTGGTGCTAGAGGGACATTATTCTTTCTGTAAGCAGTAACTCTGGCGCTGTGTGGATGTTGTGCGTTATTCTTGCCCAGTGAGTTTAACTGTCGATGATTTCAGTCCTGTTTGTTTCACCAGAGCTTATCAAATGATCTGCCTGTCACACTTCCCACATTGTCTAGCTAGTTTTATCCTGTAAAGGAAGGTTTCTTTGCCAGGCAGTGGCACACACCTTTAATCCCAGTGGCAAAGAATCTCTGTGAGTTCAAGGCCAGCTTGGTCAACAGAGCAAGTTCCAGTACAGCCAGAGCTACACAGACAGACCCTGTTTCTTCAAGGTTCTTTTTCTCTTTTAATTTTTATTTGATCCAAATGTTTTTTTTTATTTGCTTGTTTGTGGAGTTTACTTTTTCAGTGCATTTGAACTAATTAGTTGTTGTTATTTTTGACGCTCAAATTACCCCGCATGTGGCTAGTGAGTGCCCCTTCATACTGTCCCTTGGGTCCTGTTGACATGCCTTTGTTGTCCTGGAACACTGCCTTTGTGGTACAAGATTTGCCAAGCCTACCTTGTGCTCTCCCGACCCAAGCTCTGGAATTGGCCGTTTATTAATGATCTCATTTTCTATTCAGTGTTTTTCTACTTCACGATTTCTTGTCTTCAAAGTTTAACATTTTTGCCGTAATAAAGTTGCCTATTTGATTGTTATACCTTTCACTGTTTAAGTGGGTCTTATGTTGGGCCCTTTGGAACGTGGTAAATGGTGGGGTGATAGTGTACATGAGACTTAAGATTTCGGTAGGCGTGGGAATGAAGATGGGGGTGACAGAGAGCTTGCTGAGCGTTTGCAGGGCCCTGGCTCAGACTCGCAGACCACAGCCTGGGAGTGACGGCCCTCATCTGTAATCCCAGCACTCTAGAGGTAGAGGATCGGATGGCTGAGGTCACCTTCCACTACACAGCAAGTGTAAGCCCTGCGGGAGAGTCATGAGGCTCTAAAAAAAGAAAATCTTTTCAGTTAGGCGTTAAGTATTCTCTGGATTCAAGTAAGCTCAGGTTCAAGGCTTCTCATCTGCGAAGGTAGAGTTTCAAGACAGATTTCTAGTGATAGTCTGGGTTATAATTTAATGCTCTAGGCAATAGTAGAGGGCTATTGATAGATCAGCCGTAGACACTATAAAAATGCAAAAACATGAATGAAAGTAAATGTGAAAACTCTTCATTATTTTGACTGCAAATAATTACTCAAAAATCAACTGTATGATTGAAAGCAGAAGGTGAGGGTCTGAGGAGATTACCATAACAACTGTGATGACTAATTCAATCTAGTACAAATCGTTAAAGCCTCCCTCCCCCCAAATTTTAAAGAATAACTGTTAAAAGGATTTTTGTCCATTTAGTCCGTCTTGATAAATTTTCTGTTTTGTTGTGTTTAATTTTCGATTGTAAACTCCTTACTATATAAGCAACATATGTAGCTTACATTCTCAACATGATTGGTAAAGCATCATGAACATACTTGGGCAGTAGATATCTCTCGGCCTCTGGGGTCCTCCCCAGCGGCTCGGCACCCCTCTGGCACCATCGCTGTGCAGCCGCCATCTCTAGCACAGAGCTGAAGGATCGGACATCTTGACTAAAATTTTTTTGTTTAAGCAAGGCAAGGCAGTGGAGTTTGAATTGGCGGTTTTTCTACTTTGGCAGTTTTAGGCTTAGCCTTTTCCAAGTGGTGATGATCTATCTAGTACTTACCTGCTCTCCAGGACGCGCCCAGAATGCCTAGCTTACTGCCCCGATAAGGCAGAGTGGGTGCTTCTTCTCCGTGTCTACCAGATGGTATTACATCCCATTGCTTTCCTTCCTGTTTTATAATCAACTATCCCTTAAACAGGAAGTGGGGAGCAAGGTGATAGTGAAACCTTTAACCCCAGCACTTGGAAGCAGAGAAGGCGAATTTCTGAGTTCAAAGCCAGCCTGGTGTACAGAGTGAGTTCCAGGACAGCCAGAGCTACACAGATAAGCCCTGTCTCAAAACAAATAAACAAACAAGCTAACAACAAAAAAGGAAAGCTTTGTTGTTATGAGCTGTTATTTAACTTTTGATTCTATTTTGTAGAGTTACATATCCCAACAACATAAGAAAGTGAGGTGATAAAATAGAATAAATTTTATAACTGTTCTATGAATAAATTAATAGCCAGCATCTATCAGCTAAGAAATATCTTCTTCGGGCGGTGGTGGCGCACGCCTTTAATCCCAGCACTCGGGAGGCAGAGGCAGGCAGATCTCTGTGAGTTCGAGGCCAGCCTGGTCTACAAGAGCTAGTTCCAGGACAGGAACCAAAAGCTACAGAGAAACCCTGCTCGAAAATCAAAAAAAAAAAAAAAGAAAGAAATATCTTTCTTTCTGATAGTTCCTTCCTTTCACGATGTGCTTCAGTGCTTATGAAACCCAACAGTGCCCCCCACCTCGCGTCTGGATTAAATATGTAAAAGTTCAAAGCATTTCTTTCCTCTCTAGCTGTATGCAGTGTTTCTGATGTTGCCAGGCTTCTTAGTGCTCCTAGAAGTATCTTAAGGACTCATACACTTGTTATAATGTGTCATGTCTGTTTTCTTTTGATGGCTTGAGAAAGAATAAGATCTGTAAAAACACATTTCATAAATATTTTGATGTGGTACCTGTGTTAAAAATGAAAAGTACAATTACAAGAAGGAAAGACATCTCCCTAAGTTTGAAAAATTTTGATCATACCACCAAAAATCTTCCTAGGATCTTCTGCCTATTAAGCTAGAAAACGAAAACTCCCATTCTGAAAGCATGGATGCATTTGAAAAAGTGAGAACAAAATTGGAAACTCAGCCCCAAGAGGAATATGAAATCATCAATGCCGAGGTAAGCTGCGCTGAGTCTTCTGTGAGAACCGTATAAACTGTCAGTTCAGAGGCAGACGAGCTACCTTGTAATTCACAGTCTTGTTGCATGTGGCCTCAAGCATGCTGCGCATTTCAACTTTAAACAGTAGGCAAAATGGTCTGAAAATCAGAACTTAAGATAAAGCATGGGGCATGATAGATGAATTCTGGGTAGATGCTGGAGAATCACAGCTCCAGTGTGGATTGGTAGCAGTTCCACGGAGGTGCATATAAAGGGTCATTTATTTATTATTCCCAAAGTTGTATCTACATTTTTATAAAAGGAAAGTCACTGTAGTAAAGCTAAATAGTCACTTTATCAATCATAAATTTTCAATTGAAATCAGTTGAACAAAGAGACTGAAAATCTTTTCAGTAAGACTGGAAAACAGGCCAGAGATTAGAAGTGAAAATGGCATACATAGTAAAATACGCAATGGTAACAATTCCCGATTCCAGATATGTCACCTGAAACCAAGTGAGCCGATCACTCACGTTGAGATGTGTTAGACAAGAAGAGCCCTGTAATGTTTATCACTCACAGTTAAGGTGTTAGACAAGAACCCTGTAGTGCTCATTTCTCGACCTCAAACTCTGTCTCACCACAGCGAACCTGGTATAAAATCAACCAGGGTTGCACAGGTGACGGCAGGGATTCTGAAGCAAGGGTACCAGGATGTTGATTGGCATTTCAAACTTGCCACAGTTTTCCCATCTTAAAGATGCCACTTGACATCGTTAATTGAATTCCACTCTACAAATATTAGATAAATGAGTATAGATTTTGTTAGCTCTGGCGTCTGCATATTAGAAATCACCAACCATTCTGAATGTAAGACAGCTGTTTCTTGCTCCCTGTGTTGTAAAAATGGTCCATTTCCTATTTCATATTCAGTAGATCTGCCTCTTATGATATGATAGGTCCCATCTCTTCATCTGAAGTAGTCAAACTACTAAATAACTAAATAGACTGGGTGGTGGTGGTGCACACCTTTAATCCCAGCACTTGGGCGGCAGAGACGGGAGCATCTCTGTAAGTTTGAGGTCAGTTTGTTCTACAGTGGGGCCCAAAGCTACACAGAGAAACCCTATCTCAAAGTAAATAAATAAATAAATAAATAAGCAAGCTATTGTAAGTAAGTCATGTTTCTTTTCATTGTCAGATTAAGCATGGCGGTTTTGTTTATTATCAAGAAGGTTGCTGCTTGGTTCGTTCCAAAGACGAAGAAGGTAATTTGAACAGGAAGCTTCATAGTAGTTGTTCAAAGCTATTAGAATAGATTTCTTAAAGATTATACCTAAATTTTTTAAATGATTGGTTCTGAATATCTGCGTGAACTTAAACTGGTGTTAAAAACCACACTGAGAAGCATTAACGGAGCGTGGGGATAGACTCTAGCATGTTTTATATATGTTCTGTGTCTCAGTGCTAGGTACTTCATGTACATTATGTGAGTCATTTGTATTTTGTCATTTCTGTAGTATGTAAATACTAGACCAGCACTCCTCAACCTGTGGGTCACGACCCTTTGGCTAACTTCTGTCTCCAAAAAATATTTACATTATGGTTCATAACAGTAGCAAAATTACAGTTATGAAGTAGCAGTAAAATAATTTTACGGTTGGGGAGGTCACCACAACTTGAGGAACTGTGTTAAAGGGTCGCAGTGCTGGGAAGATTGAGAACCACTATACTAGACTGTTGTAATAACTCATAGATTTATACATAGAAGAGTATTGCATAAAATATTTTTAAGTAATGATTGTAGGAGGACCTCAGTATGGCTTCAGAATGCTAACATTTGCAAGTATATGTTATGGAGTTCTCGTATCCCTGCCTACCTTTATGCAGCAGACAGTGATAATTATGAAGTCTTGTTCAACCTGGAGGAACTCAAATTGGACCAGCCCTTCATTGATTGTATCAGAGTTGCTCCCGATGAGAAATACGTGGCTGCCAAGATAAGGACTGAGAATTCGGAAACATCCACCTGCATAGTCGTGAAGCTCAGCGATCAGCCTGTAATGGAAGCGTCTTTCCCCAACGTGTCCAGTTTTGGTAAGCCCCAAGTCAAGCCCCTTGAAAAGGCAGCCACAGTGAGCTGCTCGCACTTCTAAAAGTCTTTAGCCCGCGGTAGGGAAGAAGATGGTGATGATCAGGGCCTGGTCCATCTCTCTTGACTCCACCTCTTCCTATGGACTTCTGTTGTGAAATACTCCCTGCTTTAATTATCTAAGTGGGTCACTTTAAAATTGTGCTCATGGGGGACTGGAGAGATGGCTCAGTGACTTAGAACACGTATATTACTCTTGACCATCACACCTGCACCACGACCCACACACACACTTGTATTCACACACACTTCATACACTCACCAATAAATAAAGTAAATAAAGCATATCTTAAAGCAGAGTTCGTGTTTTTGAGACACTTCTAATCTAAGTCCCACATGTATATTCTGTTCTAGAGTAATTCTCAGCCAGTTTATCATGACGGCTAAAGTGTTGCGGATGCTGCTTCTTGATAGTTTATTCAAGTTTAAAGTTGCTTATTTTTTATTACTTGCTATCATAGAGACCTATTATGGCACATTTCTTAGAGTCACACCTGAAAACTAGAACATGATGAGCTGACATCAGTGAAAACTGGAATTTTAGTAGTAGATTTAACTTTAAATTTTATTATTTATTGTCTTGAACATGTTCACACTCTGTCTTCCCTTTACATTGCCACTATTTTCTGAATTGCTTAATTAGATGCTTTTGCATTGAATTGAAAATTGAAATGATATTCTACCTAGTACATTCTTTTGTATGTGTGAGTCATCCTGTCTTTCTCTCTCTCTCTCTCTCTCTCTCTCTCTCTCTCTCTCTCTCTCTCTCTCTCTCTCTCTCTCTCTGTCCCCCCCTTCCTTCCTCTGTGTCTCTTTGTCTGTATCTGCGTTACATGCATGTGAGTATGCAGGTGTAGGTATCCATGCTTGCTTATTCAATGACCAGAATAAGACATTGGCGTCTTCCTCCATCAATCATCCCCTGCCTCAGTGCTTTGAGACAGAATCTGTCACTGAGCCAGGAGCTAACCATTTTGGCTAAGCTGACTGGCTAGAAGGAAGCCCTTGTGATCCATCTCTCAGCACCCCCACCCCCACCCCAGGAAGTCCTGGGGTTACAGCCATGCACAGCTTTTTCTGTGAGTGCTGGAGAGTCAGACTCAGGTACCCATGTTTCTCCCAGCCCCTGCATAGTGAAGTCTAGGAAATACATTCTTGCATCAAACCTCTAAGCTCAGAGTTCACATAGTATAGTAATGACTTAGAGTGACTGTCAGCCAGGTGGCAGTCATGATGTAATTGTGTGCAGATCTCCGTTGGCAGGCTCTGGAGAAAGGAAGGACCCTGCTAAAATGCATTTGGTAGCTTGAGCTGTCTACACCCTGGAAGCAGACATTGAACACAGTGGGAGAGAAAATGATCAGTGTTTCTTCAGTTGAGCAGCCATCTCTCAAAAGCAAATGTGACTTTACCAATATCTTTTTTTAACACTGAAGATTATGGATTTTTCTTTAGGTGGCTGATTAGACTAAGTAATTGAAAACTTGGACTGCTGTAGTGGTATGTATGTTCTCTGGCTTATCTATAAGCACAGGTTTGATTCAGTCAGGTTTGTGCTATATACAGGTTTCCAGGGCTATGCTATATACACATTTCTTCACTTGGCAGTCAGCAGGCAACCTTTGAGTGCCACACCTTTCTAAACAGCATGCAGGGAGGTGTGTCTAATTCCTCTCGTTCCTCCCTTTCAGAATGGGTGAAGGATGAGGAAGATGAAGATGTCTTATTCTACACCTTCCAGCGGAACCTTCGCTGCCATGACGTGTATCGAGCCACATTTGGTGACAACAAACGTAACGAGCGTTTCTACACAGAAAAGGACCCAAGGTGCCCGAATGCTGCAGTTACCCCCTTCTCCAGAGTAGTCCCCGTGTTCTAAGTGCTGATCTGGTGTCTCAAAGTGTCGAGAACTGAAGAAAATTATTATTTTATTATTCTGCCTTTTAGAACTAATCTATAGAGTTTGCCAAATTCTATCAATATGGGATACCTGATTATGAAAAGATTATAAATATGGCCATAAAGAGCCAAGGTTTTATCATTTTCATTTTCAGTACTTCAGTTGTTGGTTATTTAAAAACAATTTTTTATTTTGATGGGAGAATATCTCTTAAATTCATGTCCAGGCAAGGGCCTACTAATATATTCTTAAAGGTCATTCCTTTTTAAATATTGACTTTGTTTTCAAATATTTCTATTTCTAGAGCATAAAATCCATATATTCCAATGAACACTGCATTGTGTAGATTCTGAAGGGAAAGGTCTATGCTAAATTTAAAAATTTGATTTGTAAGTCACTGAATAGCCAGCATTTATCCCTCCCCAGCACCCTCACACACACACATTTTTTTTTTTTCCTGGCAGAAATTCTATTCACCAAGAACAGAACTGAACTTTTAAAAGCAAAGACTCTCCAAACCCAACGGTCTAGTGAAATGGGCTCAGAGAAACCCTGATCATATGATGTATATTATATTGGTATCATACCAATCACTTGACAGATTAGAAATTTCCAGAGGAATTTTAACTGTACATCTGTAATGTTTTACAAATTAATCTTTTATCCAGACAGCTAAAGATTTATGGGAAGTAAACAGCAAAGTGGACAGCTATGTAGCTCTTCACCCATTGCTTCTCTTTATGTTGGAACCTGACTCTTCCACTAAGAAAGAGAATTCAAGGCTGCTGTGGTAACACATGCCCTTGGCACACACCTTTAATCCTAGTATTCAGGAGTCAGAGGCAGATGAATCTCTGTGAGTTCGAGGTCAGCCTGGGCTACACAGTAAGTTCCAGGACAGCCAGAAAAAATAGTGAGACTCTGTCTCAAAAATCCAAAAGAAAACAAAAAAGAAGAAAGAAAAAGAATTAGCTAAGAGTAACCCTATTCTGACTACAAGGGCTTAGCCAGGAGTGTCTTCTGCTTCGCCTATGAGTGGTTCTGAATTCTTCAGTGGTGCTCATAAGATTGCCCTTGAAAGGGGCTGGAGAGATGGCTCAGTGGTTAAGAGCATTGCCTGCTCTTCCAAAGGTCCTGAGTTCAGTTCCCAGCAACCACATGGTGGGTCACAACCATCTGTAATGAGGTCTGGTGCCCTCTTCTGGCCTGCAGACATACACACAGACAGAACATTGTATACATAATAAATAAATATTTAAAAAAAAAAAAAAAAAAAAGATTGCCCTTGAAGAAACCATTTCTTTCCTTGTTGAATTTTATTTTATTGTACGGGTATTTTTCCTGTATGTGTGTCTGTGTAGCACATGCATACCTAGGACCCACAGAGGCCAAGAGAGGCCATTGGATGCCCTAGACCTGGAGTTACAGACAGTTGTGAGCTACAATGTGGGTGCTGGGGATTGATCCCAGATCCTCTGGAAAAGTAGCCAGTGCTCTTAACTGCTGAGTCACCCATCTAGCCCTCCAAAAGCAGTTCTTGTTCAGTTTTTAATATATTGTAATATTTCACCTGCGATGCTTAAGGATCACAGTGACATCCACTACAAATGATGCCACTGATTCCAGATGTTTTCTGGGGTTTCCAGCTCAGCTCCAGCTCTCGTTCCTACTTCTGAGCATACCCTTTATTTAAATATATGTAGGGAGGTTTACCAGCGTCAGGTCATTTCAGGCTAACCACTCACACAGCTAATAATATTCCAGAGTGGGAAAGTAGAGTTTCCTAACCCAAACCCGATGTCTGCAACCAGTGCAGTAATAACTTCATGCAGTCCTGTGCTTTTCTTCCCTTGCAGCTATTTTGTTTTCCTGTATCTTACAAAAGACAGTCGTTTCCTCACCCTAAATATTATGAACAAAATGACTTCTGAGGTGTGGCTGATAGACGGCCTGAGCCCTTGGGACCCGCCAGTGCTGATTCAGAAGAGAATACATGGGGTCCTTTACTATGTCGAGCATCGAGACGACGAACTATACATCCTCACTAATGTTGGAGAACCTACAGAGTTCAAGGTAGTTCTCCATTCTGCCTGTTCCCATTGGGATGGCTTTCCCTCATCAACCTGCCCTGCTACAGGAGAGAATGGGGGAGGGGCTTAATGTGTGATTGGCACTGCCTTCCTGTGCATTGCCAGTCCCATTTCTCTGCCCTTAGAGATAACATTTCAGCCTACTGTACTTCTCTTCATAACATCAGTCAGTGACACATGCTGCAGTGCCTGTGTTGTGACAACCAAGCTGGTTGGCTTCAAGGAGCACAGTCTACCTCCCGGTTGTGAGTTGGCAGTTGGAGTAGTCTCAGGCAGGCGTCCCAATGCATCCATGTCCACTGGTTGACTGTTGGCTCTCATGGCTATCACTGTCTCAGCAGCACGCTAACCTGGGCTAACAGGGTGACATTCACACCTTGCCCCTGATACAGACTAACTAGCGGTCGCTAGTGTGGTCCCTTCTGTGCTCTCATCCCCGAATGCTGCGGCCTTAGTGCTGTGTCACCTGCATCTCTTCTAACCTTGTTCATACAGCTGATGCGAACAGCAGCTGATGCCCCTGCCATTATGAACTGGGATTTATTTTTCACAATGAAGAGAAACACCAAGGTTGTAGATTTGGACATGTTCAAGGACCACTGCGTTCTGTTCCTGAAGCACAGCAACCTCCTCTACGTCAACGTGATTGGTCTGGCTGATGACTCCGTCCGCTCTCTCAAGGTACATCTGCTCCCAGCCACACAGTGCAGCTCAGTAGAGCATCAGAATTGGAACGCCATGTACTTTCTTAAAAGAAATTTAATTTAAGTGGATTTTAACACACTGGCTTTTATCAGGTCTAGATTTATATTAGAATGCCTTGAGAGACCTTGTTTTAATGCAGTCTTATGAAACCAGTGAACCTCGGAAATAGAGTTGGGGTCATTATGTTTCCCTTTCCACATAACCGAGACCTGACAGCTGCTTGCCCAGGCCACAGCCCAGGACAGTAGCCACATCCCTGTATTCCCACCACATGCTTGTATCTGCATCTCCTCTCCTTGCCAGTTTTGTTTTCCATGCAGTATACACCTCCTCCCTCTCAGTGTATGACGTCAGTGGTCTCCATGCACAGAGGGATGATAATAGCATGTCTAACTAGCTAACACTCTCTACGGCTGCCAAGACAAGACCAAATGCCGTCAGAAATGAGCCTGATGAATTAATGAATGGCAAACTTACTGTTTGTGTTCAAAGTAGCATTAAGTGAATTAAAGTTACGAGCCCTGAAGAGAAGGCAGCCTTCATTCTGCCTGAGAGGGAAAGAATTACTGAGTGGATTGACCAGCAGGCAGATTAAGTCCTTTTAAATAACAGTCCAGTATTGTCAGAATTCCTATTAAGACACAACCCTGCCAATTCCATGCCTATTTATATTGAATTCCTATGTACAAAATACAACATTGTGCAATAGTAAAACAGGGGAATAAAATATCTGGCCTTAAAGAATTAAGTTTTTATGGTATTAGACAAAAAAGCATTAAGTATAAGTTAGTTTTAAATAAGTGGTTTCAAAGACAAAATGTAGAATTTAAAGGAAGGGATGAGTTTGTGGCTCAGAAAAACTTTTGTAGAGACAGACTACAGTGGATAGATAGGAATTTAATATGTCATATCCAAGAATGAGAAAGCCATTCAAACACAGCTCTAAGCTGAAGTCCATATATCTTCAGGGACTCAACTCTTAAATTTGTTTTGCTAAAGCAGAATACATTTCTGGAGGATGAAGTTATGACATGATGCTTTTTAACTGGTGTGAGTAGTCTGTATAAATTATAATGTCAGGAACAAGTTATTTTTAGTGGGCTGCAGAGATGGCTTAGCAGTTAAAGCACTGACTGCTCTTCCAGAGGACCAGGGTTCAATTCCCAGCACCCATATGGCAGCTTACAACTGTCTGTAACTCCAATTTCAGGGGACCTGACACCCATTTAAAAAAAAAACTTATTTTTAGTTTGAAGTGTTCATGAGATTATTAGGTAACTATATTAGTAAAGATTGAAGCAAGCGGATAGGAACCAGGGAGATGAATTCAAGATTGTTACAGTGGGAGCCTGTAACAATTAGAATTCTTGAGTTGCTCCCTAAAATCAAATTGCTAAGTTTAACATTGAATCTCTTAGATGTCTGTATAGGTGTCCTGCAATAAAAACAGTCATCATTTGAGGACGTTCCTTCTTGTCTGTCTGCTGTGTTTGGGAAGCTGTTAGAGAGCATATTTCCTCATTGCAGTCTATAGAAGTAGGGATGGTAAATGTGGGATTTCTAGCAATGCATTTATTACAATTACATCGATCAAGAAAACTGGGAATACCATGCAGAGATTTTCTGCTATAAATTAAATTTATTGGGGCTGGTATAGCCCAGGCTGGCCTTGAACTTCTGATCCACTTGCCTCCACCTCCCATGTGCCAGGATCATCGGCATGGACCACCACACTTGTGGTTTTATGTGGTGCCGGGGTTTGAACCCAAGGCTTTGTGTGCTGAGCAAGCACTCTAGCAGCCCCCACGACTAGACTTCTAAGTAAATATGACCTTTTCTTCGTTTTAATAAGTATTCTTAGTCAAAGGTGTTCCCCCACATACGCACTTCCTGCTTCACAACAAAAGCTGTCTTTAGTTTCTGCTCTATTGTTTAGTTTATCCCATCACTCTCTGTAGGCCCCTGTTCTGCCCTGACTCTTGTTCTAGGTCCTCATCAAAGAGAATCAAACGCTTAGTACATACCATGTGCTACTTAAAAGTAATTTTATAATTATGTGATGCTGGATAACGCTGATAACTACCCATTGACCATGCTTTACATAAAAGACAAAACCTTTAGCCCCAGTGTGAGGAGTTAATAACATATGCCTAGGAGATACTTGACCGAAAGATCTTTCTTAACACGATCTCCGGCAATGGGAATGTTAAACTTTCCTTGTATTAATTTTTTATCATCGGTCATCATGTCATCAGTATTTTCTGATTTTTTTATTTGATTGTAATACCTGGAAAGTAAATTGAGGCTGTTTACTAGGGTGCAAAGCCAGGTCCTTGCACATCCTGGGTAAACTCAGCCAGCGAGCCTTCCATCTCCCTCGCTCCCGAGCCCAGGAAATGCTTTGCTCATGCTGTCATCAGCTTCCTTTGCCGGAGACTCTGTTTCCAGGCCAGATTTCTTTCAGTACATTACAGCCTAGTAGGAAACATGGCTCACGATGCCCTTGAGACAGCTAATATTTCTGCACCAGCTGAACAAATGCTTCAGAGTCCTTGGTCTTGGAACAGTTCTTATGAGACTAAACGTTGGTCCCTTGGTTTTAGAAAAACTCAGACTGTGATTTGTTGGTACCAGTTGTCCTAAAGCTGCAACACTGTATTCCTAAGTCACAGTTAAGTTTTCCTGAAAGGCAAGTAGAGCTCTGCTATAACTGTGGGTCCTCGTTAGTTTCCCGGAAGTAGACTGGGGGTTCACTGGGGAAATGCGCCTGACCACTGTGCTCTCTGGCTGTGGTTTCTGCAGGTGAGACTCTGTCCTCCCGGTCCCCACAGCCTTTCCTCCCTTGTTCAGTAGTGCCCGCCAGGGATGTTGCTGTGCCAAGACCTCTGATTTTCTAAGGAATTTGCTCTTTCTGCAATTACCCAGAAAGAGAAAGGCACTTTGCTTTTCACGTTCTTACTCTTGGCCCCTTTTGACTCTGTCAGCCTGCTTACCAGGCTTGTTTAAAAGGTGTAAGTGGGATGTTAGTGGAAGGCTTGACGCTGGACCCTGCTGCTCTAAGAGAATAAATTTTGATTCCTTTCCTTTCTTCTTAAAGTTAAGAATCTTGAGCATAATAGCTCTGAGTCTCTCCGCGTCATTGTGCCTGGAAAGGTTTTGTTCTGCACAATGGTTAGCCTCGAAGCTAAAGTTAGAAACAAATTGGAAGTGCTTTACTGCTGCTGAGCCCGTTGGTAGCCCTGGAATAATAACTCTCATCACTGGCTGTCCAGGCAGCAGGATAAGGACTGGTGGGAGAATCATTGCAAACATTCACGCGAGGTCTCTCGTCTGTAAGAGCGGGACTGGAGGCTGTTGCTGGGGTAGACGCTTATTTCATTTGCTCTTATTCCTAGCCCTTTGGTTCTTTAGCACCCAAGTTTGTACCCAAATAAAGCTGATAGGAAAAAGCAATTTCATTTAAATCTAGGATTATGATAAACTCATTTCCTACATTCTTTTCCTTTAATGGTAATTTATATGTGGTTTTATTTGTTTACTTAAGGTCTGTTTTCATAATGAAGTAATTCATAAATGATGATCATGTGGTAACGGAGAGTAGGTCTCCACGACGTATCGTTTGGAGCAGACTCAGAAGCTTTCTTTTTAACTAGTGGAAATATTTTTTGTTCTTCAGCTCCCTCCGTGGGCCTGTGGATTCATAATGGAGACAAATTCTGACCCAAAGAACTGCCCCTTTCAGCTTTGCTCACCAATACGACCTCCAAAATATTACACATATAAATTTGCAGAAGGCAAATTGTTTGAGGAAACTGGACATGAAGATCCAATTACAAAGACTAGTCGTGTCTTACGCATGGAAGCCAAAAGCAAGGTAGGTGTGTGATCCCTGCTTTCAGCTCCAGATACTGCAAGTGCACCGTGCCTGAGCCCTCGGCATCGGGGCCTCACCAGCACTGTTTGAAAGTCCCTTGTACTATAAAAGATTCAGATGATCTTAGTATGCATAAATTTTTCCTTTTAATTTTAACATGCATTTTTTTTAACATGGACATAAAAATCTCTGACTTGTATGCTAAGCCTTTCATTTCACTTGCTTATATTTGAGTTAATAAAAAGAGTAAATAGTCAAAGTTGGTGTGCCCTGCTAGTGATAACCTTGAGAGTACAGCAAGTAGCTGGTTAGAGTAGACTCGGCTAGTACAGTCCCAGCTGTCATGAGGCTTCGCTGTGGCAGGGGCAGTGCCAGAGGCTGAAGAAATCTCCGTTACGATGCATTGACAGCTACAACAAAAGCATACTGAATACACTGGAAATGTGGTAAAGGGACTCCACCTAGTCTGGCGAGCGCCAAGCGGTCTTTTCTGAAGAAGTAACGTTATCTGTCTTAGTTAGGGCTTCTATTGCTGTGGTAAAACTCCGTGACCATGAACAAGTTAGAGAAGACAGGGTTCGTTTCTGCTAGAAAACCGATATTCTCTTCCTGGTACCTACATGTTGGCTCACAGTCATCTGTAACTCCAGCCCAAAGGAACGTGACACCTTTGCCGGACTCCGTGGGCACTGTGCACATGTGATACAAGCATACATGCAGACAAAACACCCATACATATAAAGTAAATAAATGGCTTTGATTAGATTAATAGTTATAGGCCTTTGTTGGCCTGAGCGAGAGCTGATGTATCAGTGTTGAGCATTTTGACATTTCCTAGGCTCAGTCAGCACGTTTGTAAATATTCAAAGATAAGAATTGTCAATATCTAGCCTTAGGCATAGGGAGTATGTTGTACTAAAATTTCCAACCTAAGTAGGCCGTTTGTCTTATCCACAAGACAGAAGTTAATACCAAGCAATGACGAGTGCTTGTCAGTTATTTCCTGCTGTGAGAAACTGTTCCAGTGGCTAAGCCGGCCCTGCTGCTCTCTGCTGGCTGAGGTAGCTGAGGCCGGAGCTGTGTGCGCAGGCGTCCCTGGCTCACAAACCTGACGGCACATGGGGGAGGGCACATCATGACACTTCAGACTGGGGCGGGGCCCAGCGGTAGAGCCTTTGTCCAGCAGGTGCACTGGTCCCAAGCACGGCAAAGAAACAAGCAGCAAAGATGTTTCCTTACATGCTAGTAATTCTTCATTTCCAGGATGGAAAATTAGTGCCGATGACAATTTTCCACAAAATGGATTCTGAGGACTTGCAGAAGAAGCCTCTCTTAGTACATGTGTATGGAGCGTACGGGATGGATCTGAAAATGAATTTCAGGCCTGAGAGGCGGGTCTTGGTGGACGATGGATGGATCTTAGCGTACTGCCATGTTAGGTGAGTCAGCACACTTCTGGCAGATGAGCACTAGGACATGGTGATGACAAGTGTGACAATTATGTCAGGGGACCAGGCGCGGTGGCACATGCCGCTAACCCCAGAACTTGGGATGCAGAGGCAGGAGACACTATCTAAAAAAATCTAGAACACAAAAAACAAAAACCAATATATTAAGGGGCAAAAGCTTACCTTCTTGGTGTGGATTTTGGATTTATGTATCCCTAAGCCTAGTAGATCTTGATTCAGATAGCAGATTAGTTTGGTTCAAAAAAACAAAAGAAAGTTTTTCAGACCTTTGAGTAGATTCTGCCATGTTTGTACTTGGTAGTTACATTATTATTTCCACGTATTCTCTTGAATTCAGGTTTCTGTCCTGGGTTTCTGTTCTGGGTTCTTGAGACAGGCTCTGTCTTTGTAGCCACAAACTCATAACCCTTCAAGCGCTGTGATTCAGGTTTGTCCATCGATTCAGCCAATGTAGGTTGTTGTTGTTGTTGTTTTTAACAGAGCCTCTTTAAGCTGAGCTTCCTTTTTTCTCGTCTGATTCCTGTTCTATTTTAGCTGTTCTCGGAACAGCATTATCATTTTATTTCTGCTTAAAATCTCCGCCGCCGCCTATCTCCAGGACAAAGTCCAGATTTCTTAGTAAAATTCTCCTGATCTGGCTTCTGTCTGTGAGGTAGCCCCTGGCCGTGTGCCTTCAGGTGGCATGTTCTGCTCTGTCCTAGCAAGTCTGTGTTTTCGCTGGGTCTCAGTTTCCCGTTCCTTCTCCTTCCAGGAACCCGCTTCCTTCACGGGTCAGTCCAGTGTCGTTTCCCGTGCCTTTGTGCTCCTGACTCAGATGCCCTAACCTCTTTCCTCTGCTCAGGTAGAGCTTAAACACTTGTGCCACGCGGCAGCCAGCATGCCTGGTGACCGTGGTCTGCTATCCTCAGGCCCTCTGAGCTCCTCCGTGGGCAGTTCTGCTGGCGTGTATCTCGAAGGTCTGTCCTCAGACAGTCTGTAGTCATTGGCCATGGGTGCTCAAACATAGCTGTTGAGTCAGTTTTTGATTGACAGTTTCCTATAATGGAAACTGGTTTAGGCTTAGCAGGCCAGATAGTCGCTGTTGGATATTCCTTCATGCTGTTTTCTCCCAGCCTTTAAAAGCACAACAATCCTGAGCCTGTGATATAGTTGCTGACCTCCACTGTATCGCTTCTGTTTTCTTCTACTCCAGGGGTGGTGGAGAGCTGGGCCTCCAGTGGCATGCTGATGGCCGTCTAACAAAAAAACTCAATGGCCTTGCCGACCTAGAGGCTTGCATTAAGACGCTTCATAGTCAAGGCTTTTCTCAGCCGAGCCTAACAACTTTGAGCGCTTTCAGTGCTGGAGGAGTGCTTGCGGGAGCACTGTGCAATGCCAAGCCAGAGCTGCTGCGAGCCGTGACTCTGGAGGTGAGTGCTCGCGTTTCTCAGCACGGGCAGCCGGGCCGCTGGTCACAGAGGTGAAAGCCGTGAGTTCTAAGGCAGAGCAGAGCTGTTAAGTTTAAACAGAACTGTGTCTCTAGGAGAGCTTGTGAAATTATCTTAACCCACTGTGTGTTCTTCCCTGACGATCATCTTTTTGGATCTTGCAGGATTTCCATTGAGGGAGTAATGGCTCTTCCCACTGAGCCTTTTCTATTGGTTAGAACATATAGAAAGCCAAAGTTATATGTGGTTCCAGAAGTCTGGTGGAGCCCTTAATCTGGATGCAGTGTCTCCTCTGACTTGTCTGTGTGACAGTGTACTGTCCAGCCACATTTTATTCCTAGATTTCGAGACTATTATTAGAAAACCCATTATTTTGTTTCTTTCATTTCCTGGCTACGTAGCCGGTCAGTCGGGTCTCTTGCTCACCGTCCTCCCCAGCCTCCTAAGCAGCGGGATTCTAAGTGTGTCCCGCACACCTGGCTTACACACTCCATTCTCGGTGCTCTTTTGGGTATAGTCCTATACTTTGATTGAACCATCAGTTGAGAAAATGGCCTTTAGTCTTTTCCTATTCTCCAAACCGTGAAGCATCAGGCTTCATGTCTGTCTTCTGCTTCCTCCGTAGACATCTGGAGAATAATGTCTGCGCAGTTCAGAGTGATACTTTTCAGTGTGTGTGTGTGTGTGTGGTGTGTGTTTGTGTGTATGGTGTGTGTTTGTATGTATGGTGTGTGTGTATGTGTGTGTGTGTGTAGAACAAGTAGTAAGTTAAATGAGTATTAAATAATTTGAACTGGAAATCTGTTTTGAAAAAGATATTCATTATAGAGGAAATAAACATAGCCACAAAGAATCATTTACAATATAAAATGCAGCTAACCTTGAATTTTAGAAATTAGAAATAACCAGAAATGCATATGTTAGGATATTTATTTCAATTGCTTATTACAGTGAAGAATTGGGGACAGCATAAATATTCACCACAGAGTGTTCATATATGCATCAGCATCATTGAATAAAAGCACCCAAGATTAGGGCTCACTGGGGCAGAAGAGTTTGCTGGAGTGTTAGGTGAGAGTAGGTGTGTTCAGGCCAATGCTAGAGGCTGCAGAGCCAGGGAAAGGACTGATTCGGTGAAGCTGCCACTGCTGAGCACAAAGCACCTCACGCTGCTATTGCTGCTTCTGAAAACCGACAGATGTCACACGTTGCCTGGCAGATCCTCCATGATGGCCATTTGTGCAGTAGAGCTGGGCCCTCCTACCGCAGCTGGCGGCTCTGTATGCAGAAGTCCATCCTGCTGGGCGGCCGGAAGGAATTACTGCTCCCCAGACTCCATGGATGGCACCAGGAGAGAAAGCTGGAAAGCAGATGCTCTAAAAAAAATAGAATTTTAGATGAAAAAAGGCAATTTTCCTTTAATTAAATGTGTTTATTTATTTTTATTTTATATGTATGCGTGTTTTGCCTGCTTGTATGTCTGTGTATCACATGCATTCCTGGAACCCTCAGAGGCCAAGAAAGGGGTTTGGATCCCCAGAAACAGTTATGGACAGTTGTAAGCCACCATGTGGGTGCTGGGAATTGAACCCGGGTCCTCTAGAAGACCAGCCAGTGCTCTTAACTGCTGAGCCTTCTCTCTACCCCTTATAAATGTTCCAATAATAATTAAGGCCAGTAGACGTTTTTCATCTTCTCTTCCCGTGGCTATTTTCCGGATCCTATCTAAGCACGATTTAGGAGTTTTACCGTGGAGCAGAGTCTGTATGCTCTTGGTGCTTTTCTCGCTTTCAAATGTTCTAGGCATCCTCGGAGAGTAACAAAACCTGGTGTCAGAACTTTCTTAGTGTAGGCTTCAATACTCTTAACATATTTATTGTTTAATGCAGTCAGTCTCCAGATCTGAATTTCTGTCTTTCAAAACGGAAACCCATACCCTTGAGTGGCTCTCCATCCCTCCCTCCCAGCCCGTGGAAATTCCCCCTGCCCTCCGTCTGCACCGTCACCTCTTGTAAAGCTGCGTCATGCCAGATTTACTCTTTGATAACACTTATCTCACTTAGCTGACCCGACATTGCATTGCAAGAGGGTCCAGACTCTAGTCCGCATGCTTGCACCACGGTTTGCTTAAACACTGACCTAGTTCCACTATAAGACCGTCTCCCCTCTTTTGGGTATATATCTGGGAAGGCGTGGCCAGGTCAAAAGGTAAATGTCACTTTCATTCTTTTGAGTAACTAGCATGGTTTTTGCCACAGTGACCACAAGTTTACGTTCTAACCCGCAGTGTGAAGATGGCAGAGTTTCTGTGTTCATCGCCAGCTTGAAATGTTCTGAGTACTCTGGGTTTTTTTTTTTTTTTTTTTTTTTTTTTTTTAGGAACAGGGCAATAAAGTTTAATCTTGCAACTTAATAGACTTCGAGGCGTTCCGGTCAATGTAGAAGACCTTGCGAGCCTCAGAGGAGAAGCCCAGGCCAGCCCCACGGCTGTACTTCCAGCTCATGGCCCGGTCATAGTCCTGCTGCAGATCCTGCTGGAGTGTGTCTGAAGACTTCTTGTCCAGGGCCATGTTGTGCCTGCTAGTCATGCTGGGAGGGCGGCTGAATGACGGGGACAGATGCTTAAAGCCACCCATAAGCTTCAGGAATTTCAGCTTCTGTTCTTCATTTTCAAAGCCAGCAGTGTCCCACTGACCAAACTGGGTTCCCGTCCACTTCTTGGGTTCTGAAGCCTCTGTCTTGCCCGACTCACGATCAATCTCCTCTTGCAAGGCCTTCCGCCTCACCTGATCTATGCAAGCCTCATCCACGTTGCCTTTCTTTTCCAGTACCACCTCGAGGTCTGGGTCCGACTCCTCTTCTTCCTCCTGCCAGCGGTCTTCCTTTACTCCACTGTCTTTCCTCTTCTTTTTCTTCCTTTTCACAGCCAGCCCTTCACTGTCTGGCTGGTCCACCTTTTTCTTGGATTTCACTTTCTTCTTCCCAGGAGACTTTGGGCTGTCTATCGGGATGTAGTCCAAAGTTTCGCTTTTGAGTGACTTCTTACTTCCTTTCTTCAGGCTGCTCTCTACAGAGATCTTGGAGTGGATTGGGAGGATGTCTCCCTCTTGGTGGGTCTTCTTCTTCTTTTTCTTTGTGCTGTGCTCTCTGGGGCTCCCCTGCTTCCTTTTCTGCCCCAAGGCCGCCTGCTCCTTACCCTCTGTCTCCCCTGAGCATGGGCACAGAGCATCCCCAGCTTCACAGAACCACGAGCCCTGGGAAAGACAGGCCTCAATGTCCAGAACCTTTTTTTCCTTCCTGTGTTTTTTGGCCTTCTTACTGGCTTTGCTTACTTCCTCAGCACGCTTGGGGTCTGGGGAGGTCTTCAGCACTGAGCCTTGGGAGGTGGCTGGTGGTAAGGACTTCCCCCTCTTCTTTTTCTTCTCTCCGCTGAGGCATTCTGCTGACTGCTCACGAACCTGCCTTCTAGGGCTGGGGGACTTTTTCCATCCTCTCTGTGTGGCCTCAGACTCCAGGTGCTCCTCCAAGTGAGCACTAGGGAACTTTTTCTTCTTCTTTCTCTTGCCCAGTGATGTCTCAGGGTCCTGTCCTTCACCCACATTGTTGGAGGGGGATGTGACTCTTGGAGGAGAAACATCGACAAAATAGACTGAGTATTGAGTCTCTGGTTCTGTGACCTCTGTAACCATCG